TTAAACCCTCCCCCCCACACACACACACACACTTATTTTCAGGCGGATAGATTTCATGTCTGAGCATTCTCACATGACAGTGGGATTCCCCCCCCACCCTAAAAACAGTTAAATAAAGAAAAAACTATATCCTCATGCAAGAACTTTTCTGCTTCCGATTACCCCCATGCTTACAAGTTGCAAAGGAAACACGGAAGCAGGGAAGCGGCTGCCCAGCTCCGGAGCTCCACACCCTTTTTTTTTTCAGAGGGAATCTGACTCCGAGTATAAGCCGAGGGGTTTTTTTTTCAGCACAAAAAATATGCTGAAAAACTCGGCTTTTACTCGAGTATATACGGTAATTAAATTATATATGGTTAAACATATGTAGCTTTTTTATATAATGTAAATAGACACATTCTTAGTTTTGGTAAAATTCTTATTGTTGTTAATATGAAATTAAATACATGTTTAGATTAGAAAATAAAACAGTACCTAAAACAAACTATCTATCTGAATTTATTTCTCTCAGTTACATTCAAAAAATGTTCCCATAAACCAAGGGGTGGGAACTATGGCAAGTTTATGACCTGTGGATTTAACTCCCAGAATTCATGAACCAGCTGTGTTAGCTTAGGAAATCTGGGAGTTGAAGTCCACAGGTCATATAAGGGTTATGTTGCCTACCTCTGTCATAAGCTACTTTGAAAAAAGATAATTAATCAAGAATAATTGATACATTTGAAGAAAGTAGAACAGGTCAAAGAAATTTGTGGTCCAATAAATTATCTGTAAAAAATAACCATAAGGTATTGTACAGAATGTATCTACCTCCTCAGCTTCCTTTTCATTCACTTACTTCATTTACAGGAAAAAAATAATTAGAGTTACATGTAGTCCTCAACTTACAACCAGTCACTTAGCAACCATTTAAAATTACAAAAGAGCTTCCCAGAGCTACTTATGGCTTGGTTTCCAAGTCCCTGGTCACATGATTGTATTGGGGGACTAGGCAATTAGCTCACATTTATAGTCATTTGCAGCCATTTGGTCACATCGCTGCAATTTTTTTTTTTAGCCAACTGGCAAAAAATGTCCTTTGAGTATAACAGGTCCCTTTAACAACCATGGTGTTAGTTTAATGATCATGGCATTTACTTAACATCCACTGCAAAAGTCATAAATTAGGCATGGTGAAATGGCGATCTGCTTAGTGATCATCATGATTACAACCATAATTCTGGGCTCAAGTATGGTCGTAAATTGAGAACTACCAGTACGATTCTAGCTTCTAGATTACAGATTGTTTTAAACAATGTAATTGACTTGACTCCCTCTTTCTCCCACAGTGGAACATGCAATGAAATGAATCATATAGTCCAAACCACCAAAACCTCTAAAATAAATTAGTTCTCATTTTGATTTTAACTTTCAAACATTAATATTAAATGTGTTCCCATCAAAACAGACAATTCTAAAAATGAACTGTTTGTTCTTTGGAGAAAAAAAATACCAAAACAATGACTTTTTCACCATTTTTTTTCATCCTCCTTCTTCCATTGTTGGAGCAGAAAGCTCACTGCTCTTTTTATTTGCTTTGTTTGCTATTTATCTGCTTTTTTGTTTGCAACACATCTAATTGCTGATGTTGCCATCAGCTGCATATTGATATCTTAGGCAACAGCAAATTGAGATAGATTGGAATTGAACATTTTCAGGGAGAAGATATTACCGTTTACTACTCAAGACATAAAAATTCAATTCAACATCTCAGGAATCTAATAAGTTGCTTGTGATTGGAAAATAGAATGCAAAATTTGGACATATTAAGGAAAAAAATACTTGGCCTATAATGGCCCAGGAAATTGCAATGAAGCGGGAAAAGGACTTATCAAGTTCTGCCAAACCAATTATTTTTTAATTGCTAACATATTCTTCCAGCAACCAAAATGACACTTACATATATGGGCATCACCAAAAATCTGATTGACTATATCATTGGTCCAAAGGGTTAAAGGAACTGTAAAACAGCCAAAATATAACCAGGGGCCATCTATGAAACAGATCTTAAACTGTTTGTATACAGGCTCCAAGGTAAGCCAAAGAAGAAAAGAAAGGCAACTAGTTTTCACAGTATGATCTTCAGCATGCTTCCAATCCCACCATTTTAAGGAGAATATAGAGAATCACTTTTGAACATAATGGATAGGAAAACAAAACTGTGCAATGAACTAAAAGAAGTTGTTAAGGATGAATATTTTTAAAAAATCAGCTGAAGATCAAGAATTAGAAGAAAGCAGTATGAATATTAGAAGAAACAGAGGAAATTGACAGTAATAAAGAAAAGCTATAAACAAGAAACAAAAAGATCTTAGGAAGACTCAAGAAGCAGTAAATATCTGTAAACCCTTTTACCACCTAGGTAACCTTGGGGCAGCCACATTGTTTCAACCCAACTCACCTCACAGGATGGTTGTTGTAGGGAAAATAGGAGGAAGACATGTTTGATATGTTCACTGCCTTGAATAATAAATATAAAAATAATAAAGGTGGAATACAAACAAATAAAAAAAATTATAAAGATACTAAAATTGGAAATAGAACAAAAAACAAAACAAAAAATCTTCCAAAAGACTTCTGAACTCAGAAGGAAGTTCCATCCTTAAAGTAGTGCACTAAAGTATATACTAATGGACAAATAATAACTGATTCAAATGTGCTAAAATGAAGATGGAAGTGGTATACTGAAATATTGAATTGTAAAGTTGTCAACATCCAAGATATCTTAAAAATGTGAACTTAGTGCAGTGCTCTGCTCATTACCACTTTTTAAAAATGAGGGAAGAAATGCCATCGACCTGTCCTATGCCAATGACAGTACTCTGATAGCTGAAAATGTAAATGATCTGCAATCTCTAGTAATGAAAGCCAAAGAACACAGTGAGTGGAAAAAGTGGATCTAAAATTAAATATAAAAAAGGCCAAGGCAATAGATATTGCAAATAGCCTTAGAAAGAACAATTAAAATACTGAAGTATTGAATAGCTTCTTCCTTTTAAAATCAATTACCAACAGTAAAGAAATCAACAATTAAGTAATACACCATAGACTAGCACTTGCTAAAAAAAAACAAAAAAACATGAAGGCCTTACAAGAGATATTCAGATGCCAGGATGTATCCATGCTTACAAAACAAGGTTCCAGCATGCAACTGTAACAGTTTATGGAAATTAAAGTTGGACTTTGAAGGAGTATAGAAAAGCATTGATACTTTTGAACATTGGGGCTGGAGAAGACTCCTAAGAATACCATAGATAGCCGAGAAAACAAATAAATGGATGAAAAAGAAATCAACCCTAAGACGTGATCCTCACCTGATGTAACCTCACTAACACAAGACCTATTGACCGCACAGAATCCTTATAAACAGAAGAACATTGACATCTCATAAATACTGCTGAAGATCTTACCTAGCCTGGTAATGAAAAACCAACCCAAAAGTTCGGTGAATGAACCTCCACCCTCATCCTACACGTGAGTTACAGATATTTGCCACTATTGCAAAATCTGTAATACTGCGAAAGATGGAAGAAAACTAGAGAGAAGGCAGCCAGCAGCAAGATGAATGGACTTCGCTGTAGCAGCAGTGGGTACACAACTGGCAGACCTAAAGCATCTTGGAGACAGATTTTCCTAAAGAGAATCCATGTATTCACTTAAAGTTGACAGCAATTTGATGCCACATAATCATAACGTTACTACCTTGAAACCCAGACAAACCATCACTTAACTGAGCTTCTGTACAGGATTTGGGGGGGCCATTTTCCATTGTTAAAACATTAAAATTTAATCAACTTTCCTTTAATCCATTTTAAATTTAACATTAACAAGAGGTTATCAAAATATAAGAATATAATAATTCAGCTATAATTCAATAATCAACCAGTTCAATTTCTTTTGAGAAATGTTATTTTTACTTATATTTACTATCTTACTTTTTAAAAGTAATTGTATCTATTTTGCTTTGCTTTTGCTTTTTCATACACAATAGAATCTTCTGAGTAGAATAAGACTGTCAGGTTTCAGATAAATAAGTACAATGCTGTGTGTCTAAAATGAATTTATCCATTTGGAAAGAATTCTACATTTTGGAAAAAGAGGTATGACAGTAGATTGGAAGAGTATGAGTAGTATATTTTTTCCTGTCCTCCTATGAAAATATATATGCTCACTCAAAATGCGCCTCAAAATAAAATAATAATAATAATAATAATAATAATAATAATAATAATAATAATAA